GATTCAGATTCCAAGCTTACACTGAGGCCCTAGAAGACCAGGTGGGATTGTTAGGCCTATCCATTCTATAGGGTAGATCATTCGGGCAGGGGCCTAATCGACTGACTAAATAGATCTATCAAACATCGTAAAGCTGGCCATTCACCACCTTTCTTTACCCACAACCACTAGAATTTATTTGAATCGACTGCTTTCGTCATACTTTCTCTTCACTTTTTCTATTTTGCTTGTAAAAGTTGTTTTGAGTGTCACTGTAATCGTCATGTTGTAGGCCTACGTTGTAATTGGGCTTTTTCTCTATGATTACTTTGTAAATACATAGATTCAAGTAGTAATTTCAAGCTGAAACATCTGAAACATTTCCATACAATTCATAGAAAATTATTGGTATGGCTCAATTGCTCTTCTTCCTATCTACTTACTTTTCTCACATTTTCTCTCCACTACCTAAAACTTTAATTTGGCTTGCAATATAAGGACCTGCTGAAATGCTTGTAGGTCCGATGCGTCTGTTATTCTTGATATAAATTAGTAATTTCACCTATGAATTCACCAATTTCTTGTGAAACTCTTGTATTTTTGGAATTTCACAGAAATTGCTCCTGAAAAAAACCTCTACTACTTTTCTAATCAGCACCGCACATTTACTTTGGCTTCCGAATCTCTTCAGTTAGTTCCACTCTGGCTTTGTAGGTAGGTACCAACCCTGCTCACAAGACGGATGTTCTGCGCCTTGGTAGATACCTTCTCAACCATGCATCATTTTGCTGGAATCCCCCTTTTTATAATGCTTTCATAAGTGCTTGGGATCGGAAACAACCAACTGAAGAAGGTTCAGCCAGGACCTCAAGGGCTAGTGGAAAAAGTATTAGCTTTTGGTCGGGGTGAATGCTCAAGTTGATAATGAGTGATAATATCCCTTCATATCTCTTCATAAACCTCTACTAGACTTTTGAGAGGTTAAAAAGTGCTGCGAAATGAATTTTAAACCGAAAATGTCCAATTCTTAGCCCAAAATAGGCTTGTCTAACAGCCATCCATCTTGGCTAAGATCACAGAGATATCTATAGAAGCCCACGACTTACTGATACTGACAATGGGAGGGAAGTGCTTTTGGACGAACTTGCTTATTAAGTAGTAAGATCAGACTCTACTTCAATCTTCTCTTTATAACTTTGCTCAAAACTAGTCAATTTGCCGGTAATTCTCAATTTCCCGGTAATTCTAGCACCGAACTACAATGGGTTTCGAAGTATGGTGGTTAAATGTTCGTTTGCTGCGATAGGAATCAAATTATTCTGAGAAAAGGAGTCAATCCTACAGGATCCATTCAAAAAGTTTGATATGATGTTCTCCAGATTCGGGAGTTTAATCCGTTAAAAATGGTCTGTTCATGCCTCTTGAAAGATCTCGAAGAGCACTGTTCAGTCTTAGTTCAGTGAAATTTGAGGAATGTAGAACGGCCCCCTGAAGGACACAACGCGAGACCGCTCCCCCTCCTCTCCCTACCCTTCCCCGAATTTCTTTGTCATGGAGCCATCCGCTGCAACGTATTAGCTCAAGCGTCAATCTGTCATAGTTCATGAAGGTCGCTAATTGTCACGCCTTCACTCAAAGCAAATCCAACAAGAGCCTTCGAATTCCACGGAATACACCGACACCTCGGCTTTGTTCCTTCTCCGGATTTGCTTTCAAAATCCTCTTGTACATGGTCAATACATCATAAGGGGTATTGCAGTTGGTTGCTGCTCTTGAGTTGATTCTCATGGGTGCTTTTTTGGATTTCGGCAGCTTTGGAGAACGTCGAACTCAGTGACTGATGACTCTTCGTTGCTGCTGCTGTTACTGCTGCTGCAGCTTATGTGAGAGAAGGCCTGTTAGGCCCGGCTTGCGCAGAAATCCTAAACCATCGGGTCGAATATCAATATGCAGGAATATGAGTTACCGTAAACTAACCCGGCCTCTTTCGGCGAACGCTTTGCACTTGCTCGCACCCATCCGGTGTTTGCTGAGTGATTAGAAAATTGACAAATATCGCCCATTAATTGGCTTTTTGGTCCCGATTCCACCCCGATTCCTGTTTTTTGGCAAGCATTCAGAAGTTCGAGCTGTTCCTAATCTCATCGACTATTCGTAAACAAACTTTTACCTTCTAAATGGCATATATTTGTGCACTCAACTGATCTAGTAATCTCTATTGAACTTAAGCCCACGTCTGCTCCTATGTATAGTACCCTTAAGAGGTTGATCTTAGGACTATTGAAAAGTGTCCGGAAAATAATTTCCTGTCCACTTAAAGTTCGCCGGACGCCCTCGTTAGGCCTCCTTGGTGTCCATCGTGCCCTCTTTCTTCTGGATTGTCTGGTATCAACCGATATAACTATTCTATCGTTTAACATATTGCCTTACTTTTTATATTACTGTAGTGATAACTGAATAAACGACTATCTACTTCACCTTTAAACACGCATCCCTCATCTCAGTGATACTAGGGAATCCAAGAGGGACGGATGGATGGTTGGAATAGATTGGATCTCCACTGAATTACGATTGTCTTTGAAAAATTATTTAAGGCCCATGACCTATAAGGCATTCAGCAACATCGATTGTTTTTATTGTAATTCAAATGTGAGACCCATTCCAAAAGGGATGATTGCAGCCGAGTCTTTTGTCTGTTTTCTTGATTTTTTTTCTTCTATTGAGTCTATACTTCTGATTTCTGATGCCTCTTCCAAGATAGGCCGTGCCATAGAAGTTCATTTGCTACGATTTAAGCTGTCTAGCATAGTAGACCGTACTTTACTTACTATTCTTAGAAGAAATCCGATAGTAATCAGCGGTTTTCAAAGAAAAGAATTCCTAATTGGCTAGAAGCCGACCCGATCCACTGTTTCTGCATCTGCCAGCTGCTTCTCACACCATTAAACGTACAGTACGAGTTCAGCAGCCCTGCCTACTTTTTCATCTTCTTATCACCTTTCCGAGAGAATCAATCATTTCTCTTTTCTCTCAAAGGGTCAATCGAGCCGGTGACTCACCAGTTAGGAGCTTGACAAGGAAGGTCGAAAATCCTTATTGAAATGCCAACTTGGTGTAACCAACATTCATCTCTCCTCAGTCCCATCTGTCTGTCTTCTTTTTGACATTATATTGGAAAACGCAATATTCGGTAGGCACGATGACCTTTCCATACCAATGTGAGTGATACGTTGTAGTCGAAAAAACTGTCATTTTCGATAAACGTCCTCTTGCGTTCCGATATGTGTGGTGCGTGTGAATGGGGGGAATCGGTGATGATTGAATGGCCGACACCGTCAGATGGTTACTGATCCCTGTTAGTCGCGCTCCGATGCACCTCATTTCTGGATATTGATGCTGAGTATGCAGCAGAGGATCTCGACCAAAGGTCAAGCGGGGGGAAATGCTAGCAGATTTGGAATGATGGAAATGACCTCGTAGAAGTCTTTCTCGCGAAAAATTCCTGGAAGCCTTTCTGGAATCATTTCCGATTTTCCACTTCCCCACTCCTGTTCCTTCAAGGATGAAGCGCTGGGTTTTGGAGTTGTTCTTTCCTGGGCTTAGGCCAATGCATGCATTTGATTTACATCCAGAATATAAGTAGAGTTTGAATGAATGTTTGGTCTATACAAGGGCTTATGGCCACGAACAAATAGTCAGAGCAGTACTTTTATCTTTCCATATGAGTCTAACGAGTCTGGAACCAAGTGAGCGATTTCGGAATCGAAAGCTTGGTTGACCATGGAGGACAATGATTCGGGATTCGATCCTCTAACCATTTGTATGATAGCCTCGCTACTTATCACTACGAGTTTCCAGTTTTTAAGTCATGTGTAAATCTGGCAAAATGGAATGTAAACAGTCAGGTCCTGAGACTTATTTGGAAGCCCTTACAGTTCTGTGGAGACATTCTACATACATATATACATGGGCATACATGCATATATACATGGGATCCCTTCTATGGTTTGTAGTAGTACCACAAGTAGCTCTATTCTTTCACTAACTAAGAACTTCGGTGAGTGTATAGCTACCTTGACCAGGAGGTATGGAGAACAAAGTTTTTTGGCGTCAACTAACCCCTCTTTTAGAGGCGCCCTTGCATGACATCAATTCAGAATGGTAGTGGTGTTTCTTTCTAAATGCGTATACGGTCGGTACAATGACTTGTAGTGGTCAGCCAGTGTGTAAGTCACTGCACTATCCTACAAAAAGAATCTAATATAATAATTAATCTGTGATAATTACCCGACCTTGGATGGAATGGTTGCTTGGCCTGGGTGAGAATCGATCGGGACTCAGGACAAGACCATGGGTGTATATGGTAGTGCGCCACTCGCCACTATGTACTATTTACATTGCCCTTAAATGCGGCATGCACTGAAAACGTGGAAGCAGAAGCTCAGCTCGGAGATATGGGCCATTCCTTGACCAAATGTGAGCGCATAGCAGAGATGGTGGTATATCTGAATTCGTAGCTAAGGAGTGAGCCATGAGTTTCACATTGTCTGAGCTGGATCTATCGCTTCGAGCCAGCGAGTCGAACTCCACTTTCGGGGCCTTGAAATTTTCTAAACTGTCAGAAATTTGGGTATTCCTGATTCTAAGGTCTCGAACTTCTGAAATGGCATTTTCGCTTTTGAGTTGCCCAAAATAATGAAACGATCGTGTCTTCTGCGCTTTGCATTTGAATCGACAGGGAATGACTTTCCTAGAGATACGTACTGAAGATAGGAACGTCTTAATTCTTCATCTGAAAAGGTTAGGGTACTGCCGGACTTTCCCAGAGCTTAATCTAACGGCAACATTCATAGTGCACGTGCGTGCCTAGGCCCAAGAGACAGCTTTCCATGTTGTTAATCTCTAGTTTCTCCAAGTCAATTCCCCAAATATAACTATCGGCCACCCGGCCTTTTTGCTGTGGTTTTTGCGAGTTTTAAAATTTCAAACCATGTGACGAACAACTGAGCTCGAAATTTGGAAATATGAGGCTTTTCCCACTATGAAATTTCTACCTATATAAAACCTCCTAATGAGTTTCTCATACTGTAGTATCACATCAAATTTCTGCTTTCTTGCCGCTAGACAATCTTCTCAGAAGAACATGTCCCTTCTCTGTTACGGGTCTTAACGATACTACGACCCTACCTTTTTTCTCCCATCCCCCCCCCCTCCACCCCTCCCTACTCCTCCGCCTTTCTCGTACCTCCCTCCTGAAACGTTTCTGAAATTTTTTCTGCAGTATGATCATAAAAATTTGAAGATCGGTAGGGATATATGGGCAGTTCTTTTGATCGTCGGCATAGTACATTTAGCCTTAGAAATTTTTGTTTCCATTAGCTGTTGAAATAGTTTTAGCTCCTTCATGTAATGAACTATCTGGGAATAACTCTGAGGTTTTTCTGCGGCGTAAAAATTGGAGTTGGGCTAATTTGAAATAGTTTTTCTCACTGTTATTAAAGTCTGTTGAAAAAGGGTAGCAATTCATTCCCGAACGGAGACGAAGGGTTCATTGCCGACGTCTTCCCGTTCCTCTTGATGAATTGAGAAGGCTCTCCTGTTTTTCATGGGTAACTTCTCCACTGGTGAAAACGAGAGTTGCACTAACCTATTATTGGGTTCAGGCTACCGTATGAGTCTATTTTTTACTTCTGAGCTTTTAATGAGTGACCTCCAAGTCCTTTGATTGATTTTTGGGAATGTATTCCTACTAAGAACAGTTTACAGACAGAGTAAGTAACGTCCATAGGAGCTACAACATTCCAAAATCCTTTTCACACTTTCCCACGCGCCCAGCTGTGATTACCAGCTGCAGCCTGGCTGACCTTTACCAGCGTGACCTTTCGACCTCTATTCACATTCGTGGGGATTTCGCTACCCATGGGAGTAAACGGGCTCAGGAAATACTAAATACCTCGCGATGTATCGTAAGCTAGAAGAGATCAGTGAACTCTCAGTGCCGTTCCAAAATAGTAAACGACGTGGAGATGAAGAACACCCCACAACAACTCATCTGTCATTACCAGTGGCCGGTCACTTCCACGGCTATCGTAGTCTGATGAAGTCAAAGTACAGTAGTCGATCTTTAGTCACATTGGGCAGGCAGTGATTTCCCAGACGAGAGCAGCTGACTTTTGAATAGCTCGAATAACGAAAGCATTAATCGAGCATGTTTATTAGGCCCATCTCGCCTGATCGCCGGCCGCCACATGCACATCTCCCCCTATCCAAACAATCTGGTGATCGGGTTGGTAGTCCCGACATTCGAAACGCCAGATAACCAGGGTGGCTGGTGTCCGATTGGAAGCTGCCACCGGCTTCTGATCCACAAATATTTTTTGTGACTGGGTCCACAGATATTTTATGGGACTGGGGTCCTTGACTCCAAGGGGTTTTGGGGAAGCTTCTGGCTCATCCTTCACCTGATCAAGACTAACTGGGGACTTCTAATTAGATTGAGCTCATATATCGAAGTGGAACCCTCTTTTCATTCGCAATCATCTGCATGAGCAATCAGTAGAAAGTAATAACTCCCCGGAAGTGACCAGGGAACATCCTGAACGGAGAATTCCTTCTCGGTTAGATTAGCACCTCCTACTCATCTCCTTCCCGGACTGTGCCGAGACGTCCATGTGGCTGAGCACACTTCTAACTTTAGACGACCTAATTTTTTATGTCAGCGGTGTCCGTTTAGTAAATAATTTAATTAGTATGTTACTTCGACGAGATCCTTTCTGTTATTGCGTTCCACTTCCCTTTTCCTCTCGTCCTATGATGTCCAGTAACTTTTACTGCCTATGTCGATAGAGTCCATTGTTCAGATGTCGTTCCTGTAGGGAATAGAAGCAATCAGTTCTTGGGAATATAGTATTTACATGCATGATGAATTGAATGTGGTCCTGGTCTGTGATTTCCCATACTCTTGTGACAAAAAGAGTCAGCCAGTGCTCCATCGTGGGCCATTGAAACCATTCATTTCACTCGGAACGCTTCATTGAATCGATGTTTCGCGAGAACGTTGGGTTCCTCCTGCTTAGTGTTAGTTGGATCCGAGTTGGGAGGTTACACCCTAGGTTTTCCTCGATTTAGTGAAAATGAGACTAAAGGGAGCAAAGGGCCAAATGATGTTCGCAAGTCATGCTTCCGTCCCCGGTCCTTCCCTTCTACGGGCGATGAGGGCCCATTTTTCACGGTGGAGGCACATTTATGTATGGCCAATGCATAGTTCAATCCTTTTCCTGCTCGAGCTCTTGCCAGCATTTTTNTTTTTGAAATCATCCCTTGGAAGGGAGTGATCGGGAGAGTCGAAGCATGTCCTCCCATTCTGTTCTCCTAATCTCCTCTGTGTCTCGAAGAGCTCAGCCAGTTAAGCTGACCCGTTTTGACTCTCCGAGCAGCTCAGCTTCCATTCCTATTACTTCATTGTATTTAGATGTGCACGTGGTCCATACAGTGAGTCACGGGGTCACCCAATGGACGAGCTTGGGCTTTCGTTCTCCCACACGAGTATGATATCAGTTTACCAGGGCCATTAAGAAACACTCAAGACACTTGAGAGGGCCCTAAATTTTTTTTGCTTTCCGCAATCTGCCATTCGGAAATTTTTACATCTGTTTTTCGTGTAATTATCCTTCCTTCGCAAAGCCGCTGTGTCGTTTTTTTCTGAGACGAATGAAAGGCTGAGCAGATGTTCCCGAAGAGTTCCGTCGTTCCACCATTTCCTCATTGACAAAGCGGCATCGTTCGAATCGCATCCTATCCAGAACGATTTTCTTCTTCTCAATGATTCCTTCAAGAAGCTTATCGAGCAATTAGGCGCATTCAGATGTTAACTGCTAGGATAGTTGTGTATAATTCAGAGGTAAATAGCGATACATTACTTGTAGTCTGCAAAACATACGGTATTGACAATAATAAAACTTTTTCTTCTGATTGGGCTATTCTGTAAGAATTAAAGTTGCGTCAGCTGCTGTTAATAAAGAAAAAAAAGCAGTTAGCACTTTGCAATATGTTTTTAAATAGTCTTTTCAGTCAAAGAAGATTTTTATTGCTAGTACAGCGTGCTGACAATTTGAAGCATTGACAAGTAGATGGAAATTTTCAGAAACTAAAAACCTTGGTACCCAACAAATATAATTATTTTGTTAATTAGACGAATGAATTGGTGACAGGCTTGCAACATATGAATAGTCCTAGACCATCCTTCCACTCACAGTCTCATTTGAACGACTTTTTCGTACGACTACGATTTTTTTAAAATTTTATTGGGGAGCAGGTACAATTTTTGAGAAATTTCTCGCCTGTTCCATTCTCTCTTTGCTTTCGAGCCGTTTCCAATTTTTTAAAATTTGGTATGTCTTTGTCATTCTCAAATTGCATACTTCAAGATGCTTGGAAGCTATTATGAGTAATGAAGATGAGTAATGAAATTGAGATAATAAAAGTGAGAGAGCTTTTAGAGTTCGTCAACCACGGCTTTGGGATGCGCCCAGCATTCGACTTTGATTTAGAATTATATTGGCGATTGACATGCGTTTAAGGTCTACACAAAGACTTGCGAAGGCCATCCAATGTGCGACAAGTATTTTTATCCTCCCAGACGAGTCTATTACCTATTAAACGATCGCAAGGGATGAATGCTTAATTTGTCTAGACGGATATCGATCCCGAGCTTGATCCTCGGACCATTCGTGTGCGGTGGTGCGCTAGCTACCATTCTGCCATCTCGGTCCGCATTAAGAAGCCTCCCGAAAAAAAAATGCAAAAAAATAGTTCCCAAACTCTGACAAAATTTGTGAGTTTTTTTGTAGAAGAAGCTCAAATTCTATGTCTCATGATTGTGGCTCGAGTTTTTGCCAAACACTGAAAAGGGACTGAAGGAAGGAGAGCTCACACAAACATGGGAAGGATTGTTTCGAGCTTGAGATTGTTGTTTACTCGAGTTCATGCTTTTTGGTAATTATACGTGTATGGGCTCATTGAAGTTGCTGTCTTGGCGATTGTTAACGAC